TTCAATAATAAACCAAAGAGCCAGGTGGGACTCTAAAACTTCTAGTTCAAATTACTAGCAAAGTGCTGGAATCATCAGAAACAGAAAACCTGTGAATATTTAATGTAGAGATAACTAAAATTAGTAAAAACTAATATTCAAGCCTAGAAATTTCATGTAACCCTATTGATGGGGTTCTTTTGTTTTAGAGTCCAAACCCCAGTGTTTCTTGGCACTAATTCACCGTTAAGTTATATTTCAGACCAGCCTTTCCCAGCTTGTTCAAAGCTTGCGGAACACTCTGGGACTCTTCCACAGAAAGAGCTGAGCTTAGCAGAAAGTGCTGAATTTTTTAGTGGACCCAGAACAAAGACTTTACTTGCTTCTTGCTATTCCTTTTAGAACGTGTCTGTGTGAACATGAGCATATGTTGTGTGTGTGCTCATTTGCATGTGTGTCATATACATGTGAGTATGTGTGTCAGCATGCATGTGAAGGCTAAAGGTCAACCACAGGTATCATTCCTCAGGAATTGTCTACCTTGTTGGTTTTCTAAATGGGGTCTCTCATTATCCTGAAGCTCAGCGTGTGTACTAGACTGGTCGGCCAGCAACTTTTCATGTGGTTTCCAGGGAAAGAACTCAGGTCCTCAAGATTGTGTACAAGCGCTTTATCCACTGAGCTACCTCCCCAGGCTTCTGTCTGTTCTTTCTTTTGTAACTCCTTTTCTTTCTCATTCAATTTCTCCATCTCTTTCCCCCTAAGTTCTGAAGGCTCTCTGGGGAACCCAAAAGGCATTGGTATGGATTGGATTTAAACCCCAGGCAGTGGAGCTACAAAGGATTCATCCTGATCCAGATCCTGATCCATAAAGCTGGGCCATTCGGCCCCAAACTACACAGTTACAGGAAGGATGGCTGACTCTCTTTACCTAAAGCACAGTCACCTTGATATGTGTTGTCAGTCCCTCATCCTCTCCTTGCTGCACCAGGCTTTGATCCCAAACCAGTTGTTTGTCCTTCTTGAGGAAGCAGAAGACCATGGTCCCCACAATCTCATTCTCGCTTTAGATTTTCTCAGTAAGGTATGGGGTCTGAGGGGGCTGAAAACAGTTTCGCAAAATATCTGTACACTATACTTATACAAGGAAGTCCTGAATTCTCTTTTGTCCTCAAAATTCTAATTTCTTGGAAAATATCTGTCTACCTGTGAACACTAAAATAGACCAGAAAAAAAGAATCAAGAAATTAAATGCTACAGAATATTTGTTCAACTATGCAAAGATGTGTTGCATTGCTTAACTATGTAAAGATGCTTTGTATGTGTTTATATTGTGAAATACTTGTTTAATTATGTAAAGATGTATTGCTGTTTTGCTTTGCCTGCATAAGGCCCCTTATTGGTCTAATAAAAGGCTGAACAGCCAATAGCAAGGGAGCGGGTATAGGTGGGATTTCTGGACAGGGAGAGTAAGTAGGAGGAGGAGTTTAAGGAGACACCAGGGGAGAAATTTAAGGAGACAGATATGGAAGAAGCAGGAAAGTAAAACATATGGAACGAATAAAAAGTAAAAAAGCCCCAAGGCGAAATGTAAATGAATAGAAACAGGTTAAATTAAATTAAAAGAGTTAATGGAACAAGCCTAAGCTAAGGCCAAGAATTCATAATTAATAGTTAAGTCTCTGTGTCTTTATTTGGGAGCTGGTGGCCCAAAAAAACAAAACAAAACAAAAAAACTCCAACTACAAAGAAAAACAAATAAAAAAACTAATTCTCCATCATACTGTATGTGTACCTGTATGTAAGTGTGTGAAACTTACATGCACATGCAAGGAAACTAGAAGAGGACACCATGTCACTCTCTATCATCTTCCCTTAACAGAGACAACTCTAAAGAACCTGCCTAGGCAGATGGCCAGCCAGTCCCAATATTCCCATCTCTACTCCCAAAATGCTGAAGTTACGGGTACTAATGCATATGTTGCAAGTCGTCTTACCCACCAGACAATCCCCCCATCCCCCAGATATTTTAAAGTTGTGCACCAGAGGTCTGAGCACAGTTTGACAAATATATGCTGACCGTGATATGTTCCCTGTACAGCCAGACCCTCAGTCCCCCAGAGACCCGTGGAGCTGCTTCAAACATTCCGGGGAGGAGTAGGTTCTGCCAGTATTCCAGCTAAAATGTTAGTGTCTGTCCACAGGTCTCTGAGCCATCTCTACGCCTGGCCATAACTACGGGGCACTGGGAAGAGGAAGGATCAAAGTCAGGACTAAAAGCCCACAGTGAAACCACTGTATGATGGGAGAGAGGCTCAGGAGAGTAAAGCAGCCTAGGTCCCAAGGCTACAAGAGAGCCCTCGGAGGTTCTGCTCAATGTGGAGCCACTTGCAGCCTTTGGAAGTGATCTGAGCCCCATTCAGAAGCTTAGCCCTTCCATTTAGCTTCATTACCTGTTATGGAGGGTGTCAAATTAATGCAGCCCCGTGCACACACACACCCTTTACTCATAGGATTTTAGTAAAGTTTAAATAACTCAGTATTTGTAAAGTACTCTAAGCATGGCCTGACTTATGGTAAACACTGTGTTAATGATAGCTAATATTGCCTAGAACATGCCCTCAGGGAAGCCTATCCAAGAAATGTCCACTGTTTCATTTCCCCATCTACTACTGCTGGGTAACTGGAAGTACCCTGTCCCTTAACAGAAGGTCCACAACAGCAGGTCCAGTACTAACCAGGTAGGAGTCACATCTCAATTCTTCCATTCCCTGTTCAAACCCCAGAATACCCAGAGCAGTCTCAGTGAAGACCAAGCAAATGAGAGCTACTTCCCTAGCAACTAGGTTCAGATATAAAACTGCAAGATAGCAACATCCTATGATTAAAATGGAAATTGACATGTGATTAAAATGGAAATCAACCTGGCATGCATGTCAGAGCCCACACACTCTCAGTGGGTAAGTTCTGGAGCTTCGAATAAAAATGTCCCTAAGTCTGAAATGCTGTGAACTCCAAACGCTAACCTGGTAGAAAAGTCACACAAATTACCCTACACTTTTACAGGACATAAATACAGCAACCTTCAACATAGTAAGTGACCAGGGAGTCTATGGCATAAAGAGATCATTGGCCACCTGCACACCTGGGTGGCACAGTGAGTCCGTTATTCAGAAGAGGCATATCTGCTAACTTAAGCTCTCATGCTGGGCTACAGCTGGCATAGCACACTGGCAATACTTACGCATTACAGTAGGGCTTCTTTTCATAGCCTTTGTAGTTGTTCATGTTGAGAGCCATCTTGCAGACCTCGCAATGGAAGCATCCTTTATGCCAATACTAAGAAGGAAAGAAAAACAAAAACAAATACTCAACATTTCATTGCAATACCAGTTCTGGACAGAAAGGGCAGGAAAGGCAGAACATATGATAACACTATCAGGAAATGACCCTAGGTAGTAGCACACATTTATGTATTTCCAGTTCAGCAAAGAACTCAGACAGCTATTAAAGTTCATTTTTAAAATTAATCCCACCGCTACAGACTCACAATGAAAGAAATGCCAAGAGTCTATCCATATGACAGCCGAAAAGGAACCCTGAAGTCAGTTAATGGAGAAATGGGGCTGGTGGTATGGCTTTAAAAATCAAAGAGGTTCTCTTTCCAAATGTCTAGATGTTGTGTTTGTAGGATTTTCACACACGTGTCCACCGGAAGTCAGACAACCCACAGTAGCAGAGGTGGACTATATAAGTACTCTTGTCCCCATCCCCGCCCAGCTTCCACTAAATCGCAAAAACGCCGTCTCTGGGAGACGGTTTACTCTACAGAGGCATTTGTAACACCAAACGCAAATTTCACTGGGACTGCCTACAGCTGATTTCAATTGTCAGTCAGCGGGGATGGCGCTGTGTCTGTCTCCTAGGTTGTTCTACTCCATCCACACCCAGCAAGGACAGAGCTACTGCGACCTGGCTAAAGCCACTGCCTTTGGAATGTACCCTGGTGGAGTAGGCGCCCGTGGGTCAGCTTGCTACACCGGGCTGGGTCTTTCCTAGAGGGGTTATTCTTAGCCCTGCGGCAGCGGCACCCCACGACATATTAATTGCTATTTGCCTTTTCCTAAAGCCGTTGTCACCAGAACTGTTAGGGACTGTGTGAGATGAAGGTACCAAGGTCCCTACAGTGGGGAGGGAGGGACAGACTGGACAGGGGAGGGGGCGCGGCTTGTCAACTGCTCCCCCCATCCCGTTCCCATCCTGGTTCGTGGGTGACTCAGCCTGGCTGCTGGGTGCTCAGCCTAGCTCCTGGGTTCTCAGCTTGGCTCCTGGATAGCTCAACCTAGCTACTGGGTACCCATTCTGGCTCCTCCGTGCCGGGGCTGCCATACGTCCTTCAAGGCAGCCGTGCGGATGTCGCGCTCCCTACACCCAGGACAAAAACCTTTCCTAGTTCCAATACCCTTATCATCTGATCCTGGAGGTCTCAGACACAACGGCTGGGGTCTTCCTTCGAGCATCCTCTCCTTGTGCTAAGACCCAGGAAACATACCAACCCACTCATCTCTCTAACCCAGGTGCCAAAACTTCTTGGAGCAGGTGCAGCCGGGCGCCCGGCAGGTCCGGGCTGGCCAGGTGCCCCCTCGCTCACCTTATCGAGGCAGTTGACTTTCTCCGTGGGGTACACCACTTTTCCGCAGCGGGCGCACTGGGGATTCATTGTCGCGGTTCCCGCGGGCGGTGGCTGTTGCTGCGGCGGTGGTTGGGGGCTCCGGGGAGCCGCTGTGACATCCCCCGGAGAGCCCCGTGCCACCTTGGGGCAAGCAGAAGAGCTTCAAGCGCGGTAGAACTGATCTGGTGGGGTGTAAGGGGGGCGCGGCGGGGCCTGGGGCCGGCCGCACTCTGCGACGCTGGCGCTCGGCTCTGGCTCGGGCTGTGCGCTGCTGGCTCTGCGTCGCTAGCGCTCCAGGTACCGGTGACTCACAACCACTCGCACCCGCCCCTCGCGCTCGCTCACTCGCTCCCCCGCCACCGCCGCCGCCGCCGCCGCGCAGGCCAAACCCACCAGCGCGCACCGACCCAAGGGGCAGAGAACCAGCCTGTGTGGAACTAAGGGACAGAGGGCGGCGCGGGGGAGGGGGCCGGGGGAGGGGAGGCTAGGGACCCGGAGAACTCCGCACACAGCCACCCAATGAGGCCTGGGGATCCAGCAGCCACGCCACAGCAGCCTTGGGCGCCCAGGTGGGCGGCGGCGACACAGCGAGCCAGGCGGGGGAGGTCAGAGCTGGGGGTGACAGGAGCCCGGGAAAAGCTCAAACCGGAGCACTCCCAGCCCCCTTCCTCCCTCTTCTTCCCCAGTCTGATGCCCTCCTCTCACTCCAGGGTGATGTCTCTGACAGAGGTCGGCCAAGGATGTGCCTAAGGCTTCTCTCCTAAGACTCAAGCCACCAGCTCTGCCTGGTACCGCCCAGCACACCGGCCAAGACTCCCTGCCTGAGACGAGGCTTTCTCCGCCCCGCCTTGAGCTGAAGAAGCCCGGCCGGGAACTGAGAGATTCGCGAGAACCGAGAGACTCAAGTCCCCGGTACACCCCCTTGGACACCTGACTCCCACCATCACTGGGCAGAGTCTGTAGTGACTGCCTGAAGTCCTACGACCCTGGATGCCGAAGATGTCTTGGTGCCCCCTAGTCGCCGCACTTTTTATACTTTTTATGTTATTGGAAAGCGACTGGTCATTATAGGCCAGAATCAAGCCTCTCGATTAAAACAGTTGGTGTTCATTTTAAGTGAGTGTATACAATATATTGTTTTGCAAATAAGTAACCACAACGATCTCCGAAAAGTTCTTCTGAGCTCAGAGAAGCAATTACAAACCAATCACCAAAACCAGGAGAGCCAGGAAATTAAGCAAAGGGTAGGATGGAAACCACCAGACAAAACAGCAGTGATTTTCCTTTTTAATGATAATCCCGAGGCTATTGGATTCGCTTATGAGAAGCAAACAAATGGGGCCATGTTAACTGTATTTTGTGTCTGATTCTTCCTCTTACTGGTTTTGTGGCCTTCTGCCAATATGCTTAGCCTCTCTTTGACTCAGTCTTCTCATCTGCAGAATGGCGCTGACAACAAAGTAACAAAATAGCTCTGCCCCTTCTGGAGTGCGGATTAGATGTGAGTCAGCAGTCGATAAAACCTTCAAACTCCCTGGCCTCTGTAAGCACCAAGCAAATCTGCTGGCATTATCATAAATTGGTAGTAACAAACACATTCCTTTCCTAGCAAGAGGATAAAGATTCAGTCATGCCTCTTAGCAACTTCTGTGACAAATATTTCTGTCACTTCAAGAAAAATCAAAGCTGCACTTTTTCCAGAGACAACCAGTAATTGCCAAGTCTCTCAGGCAGGCTGTGCCATGGACATATTCAGAATGCAGGGCTGTTTGACTTTTTCCCAAGAGGTAACTTCTTTAAACATAGTCACCAAAACCAACAGCTCTGAACCACTCACTGCTGTGTCCACAAACACACCTTCAAAGCAAATAAAGGACAATTTGCTATCACAGAGTACCACTTATCCTTAAAAACACCTTGAAGATCATTAAAGTTGCCTGTGGGCAAAGGAGCATGTGTATAATCTCCTGGAGGATGCCAATTTTTATCATTTGTTTTTTAGCATTTAGCTTTTTGGAACCGCAGGTTAGATATAAATACTTTATTCTCTTAATGCTGAGCAAAGAATTCAGGAGTAAAATGGTGGTGACATTTATAACTGATTAGTTTCCCTATAATCTGTATAATTTCTTACAAAATCAGCCACCCATCACAGTGATTGACAGACAGTAAGTACTAATTAAATGTTGACTGATAGTATAGATGAGACAAGCGCACACCTTAAAACTGGAATTAACTGTGATGTTTTTGAAGGATAAACAATTACTCCTGGGCCCTGCTTCCCTCTTGATTCTGTTTCTCCCTCTCTCTATTTTGTGCGTCAAGCCAGCATCCAAGTTTCTTAATGTCACATTGAGAGGACCCAAATCCCGTCTGTCTCTAAAAAGATGTCTTTATTTCCCAGACCAAAGTCCTGGAACTTTGTCTGGAGCCTGTCCTCTGGCCCAGTCTTCTTCTTTCAAGCGGATAAAATGATTTCGTTGTTCCATCATGGAGAACTCTGCCCTCGAGACTTTTTTTATTGGCCCAGTCTAGAAACTCTACCTTGTGGCCCTTGTATCCCAGCACACCCACTCTCAGTCCTTTCTGCTGGCATGGCCACAGAGGGAAAGAATAATGGGCCATTATTAGTCATCGTCATACTTAGAAGTTAGATTCTTTCTGTAGCTAGAGTTCTCAGATGTGTTTACTTTTCCCTGTGGGGTCTCCTTATAAAAAAAAAATCTGTCACAGACAATGATTACTTAAGCTATATAAATGGAACTCAAATTTGACATTCTGAAGAGAAAATAGTGGCTTTGACAAGCAGGGGCTTGGACATGATTGTGGTGGATTATCCTACTCCCAAGAATACCAGGACACCTAATGTGAGGAGTCCAAAGTTGTTTCTGTTTCATATATTATTCTGCTTTTACTGCCATGTCAATGTCATCCCTGAACATGGCAAGACATAGCGGCAAGCTTCAAATAATGAAAATACTTCTTTCCAAATGGCAAGACTCACCAAAATAAACCCCAGGTTCCTGAACATCAAAGCATCCATAAATACTGAGCCTAGATGATGAGGTGAATCTACCCAAAACCTTCCCAACTTTGAAAGAGAAAAAGGAAGGATGTCAACCCTTTGTCTTGATCTTTATTTTTGGGGTCTCTGTCCCAGAAAGGTTGATGGTAGACAAAATAATGTCTCTCCCCCCAAAAAGAAATGTTTCCCCCTGTGAATCTCTTACTTCACGTGACACAGAACCACACAACACCATCAAGGCCCTATGTCATAAAGGCTTTGTCCCCAGCCTGTGGCACACTGGGAAGTAGAACCTTTCAGAAATAGGGTCTAATGAGATACTAGTAGGTCATTTCAGTCTCAATTAATTGTGTTACGGCAGAAACAACAGAAAACTAAAGCATCTATCTGTGGGAATGGTAACCTTTCTTTCAGCCGCGGTAAGTTACAAAAGTCCTAAAGGACTAGTTTGGTTGCATGTCCATGATCCTGTGTGCACAACCATGTAACATAGACATCCATTCTCTTGCCTCCCTATAAAAAGACTTCTTCACACAATGTACCTCACGTCATTAAATTTTGCTCATGTAGATACATCATAAATAGTACACAGTCAACATGCTTCTCCCTGGGTTTTCCTTCCCTTCTGCACAAAGCAATTCAATGATTAATAGTCTCATCTTTTCAGCAAGTACCCCAAAAATCAATTCGGAGTGCCCCCCTACACCCTAACCCAGCCATCAACTCCAACTGATTTTTATCTCCAAAGAGTTCTTGAATCTGTCTCCATGCCTCTGACTTAGCATAGCAAATTGTGTCGCCTATCTTTCTGTAATGGCTCCCTAAATGTTTTAGTATCACACGAGTCACAGAAGGAAATCGGATCTTAATCTCTCAGACCGGAGCTAAAAATGTTATCAACAGGGCTAGGCATCCAGCTCAGTTGGTAAAGTTCTGGATTCAAATCCCAGGAACACATAAAACCAGATGTGATGGCACGTACCTGCAAAGCTACCCAAAGGGAGGACCACTACAACTCTGTGGTGAATCTAAAGCTACCCTGAGGCTACTTGAGGCCCTGTCTCAAGAAAGAAATGTTAGAGCTGGAGAGGTTTCCAAGTGGTCAGAGCACTCGCTCTTCCAGTGGACCCAGGTTTGATTCTGAGCACCTATGCGGTGGCTAACAAACATCTGTAACTCCAGCTCCAAGAGATCCAGTGCCGCCTTCTGGCACTCACATGATGCATAGACATGCAGGCATATAAAGCGTCCATACACATAAAAGCAAATAAATAATTTTTAAAAAGAAAAAAGGTCATAGATAGAATAATCCGTACTTCTCCAGGTCTGAGACATGGCCCCCACCCCTGTCGATGCTGTATGATTTTTTTTAACAAAATATGCTCATCAAAAGCACTAAACACAGTGCCTAATGCCCAGTAAGAAGTTAAACAATATTTGTCATAATCACTGAATTACAAGACTGCAATTTTAAATTAGATTCTAGGCTGCATGCTTAGTCAGATGGGCCATGCCTAAGATGGTAGTTATTATCATTCTTTTCATGTACCCTCAAGTGCGTTTTCTCAATCAACTGTCTACTTCATAAATATCAAACTACTAAAATAAAATTGACATGAAGAATATTCTTCTTGCTAGGCACAGTGGTGCTCATCTTTAACCCCAGCACTATAGAGGCAGAAGCAAACAAATCTGTTTTAAAGTCTACCTGGTCTATAGAATGAGTTCTAGACCAGCCAGAGTTACATAGTGAGACTCAAAAGAACAGAGCAAACAAACAAACAAAAAAACACGTTTCTTGTGCAGAGAGAATAAGTGTCAGTGTAGTGGTCAGGCACAAATTGGGCATCTATATCACATTCTCTCCCTCTCCCAACTCTTCCAAGACAAAGGGGTCATCAGAAAAGAGAGAAGAAAAATTCTAAGAGCCAGATGTTGGAACAAGAGTGAAACAGTGTCTTCTGGACATGACGGACACCTCACTCATGAACTCACAATTGTGACTGTCTGCACAAGAGCAAGCCAGTCAACATTCCAGCATGGAGGCAGAGGCTCCTGAGTTCCCACCCTAACTGAGCAACTATTCGTAACTGGTGGCTGCAAGGAGAGAAAGAATCTATTTTCTTTTAAGGTGTGACTCCTGTAAGCTGAGTCCCATGCCCATGATTAAAGGGACAGCACAAACTGGACTTGGTGGGTTATTAAAAAATACAAAGGCATGAAGTTAGGAGGCGGTGGGGGTGGACGTGAGAGGAGTAGTTAGGGGGAAGAATAAGAGGTAGATATGATCAAAATACATTATATTATGTATAAAAGTCTCAAAGAACAAAAACAGTATGCTAAAAATAAGTAAAAGGTGATACAGGAAAGAATGATATAAGAAAAACATCTGTATGACTGTCTTAGTCACTTTTTCTGTTGTGATAAGACACCATGGCCAAGGCAACTTATAGAATAAAGAGTTTATTTGGGGCTCACAGTTCCATAGAGCCTGTGACCATCATGTGGAGATCATGGCAGCAGACAGGCATGCATGGCAGGCAAACAGAAGCTGAGAGCTTATATCTTGGTCCACAATCTTGTGAGGCAGAAAGAGCTAACTGGAAATGGTAAGGGCATTTGAAATCTCAAAGCTGCCCCCAGTGACACACCACTTCCAACCAGGCCACATCTCCTACTCCTTCCCAAATAGCTCTTCCAACTCGGGACTAAGCATTCAAACATGTGAGCCTATGGGGGGGGGGCGTCCTCATTCAAGCCACCACAATGATTAAGATTATAATTCTCCTTAATGCCTTTGTCTCCCCTCCACAAAATTCCTCAGTTGAAATGTTAATCCCCAATGCTCTGGGTTTAGAGATGAGGACTGTGAGAGGAAATGAAGGCTAGAAGAGACCCTGAGGATGCAACTCCCGTGGTGACATGGGCACCGTTGCAGGAAGGACTGCCAAGACTGGTGCTCTCTTTAGAAAAGAGTCCCCACCAGAACCACCAGGCACCTCGATTCCCAGATTTATAATCTCCAGAACCATGGACAAGTACATGACTGTTGAAGCCACTCAGTCTCAGCTGTATTTTTATGGCAGCCCAA